TCGAACCACGGACCCCTGGAATACTGGCTCAATGTGCTGACCACTACACCATGAAGGCACGCTAGAAAGATGGGAGAAATACCTTATAAGCTGTGTTTATCAAATATTGCAAGAGCAATGAAAGATTAGTATTTCTACCTAGAAAAGAGGCAAATCCTAGTATACGTCACTGTTTGAGGGGGGTACCCTGAAAGGTTTCAGATTTTACATTATGCCTAAAGGGTCCTTTTTACTTCCTTGTACGAAGTAAAAAGGAAGTATTGTAATCACGAAAAGTTTCAGGCAGCATATTTCAATGAAAATAACCATTTTGACCGCTATTGAATGCAATTTAACGATGTTTTTGCTTGACAATCTGTACTTAAGGACAGAATAAAAGACCTTTTCCTCCAAAAAATTATAAACTGCTTTAAAATGAATTCTGAAGAGAATTTTTCATGGTGTCTGTATGTATGTGCATACGTATCTCGCATAACTAAAAAACGACTAGCCTCAGAACGTTGAAATTTTGTATGTAGGACTCCTATAACATGTAGATGTGTACCTTGTATTTTGGTAGCAGCTGGCCACATCAAATGTATATAAATATATTTATATACATTTGGTACGTCCAATTGCTACCAAAACCCGGTTACCCGGCTCAGTGATCTCAGTTTCTTTACTCTTAATGTTTGTAAGTTGTGCATTTTTTGCTTTAAAAAATGATTGAATTATGTTGTTCTTATCTCTTGGTTATGGTTTTTATGCCTTTAGTAAATCTGCAAGCAATATTTGTACAATTATCAACAATTTAAATGCGGTTAAGCCTATTTTTTAAATAATGTGGTGGACATATTTGTTTACATTTAAAACAGCAGAATAGTAAATTTGTTGCCAATCTAGGGAGACTAAGTTTTGCAACAACAAAGATAACGCCCACATTTATTATTGCGAATTAAATCTTGCTTAATTCTTTCTGGAATTTTTTTGAGGGAAAATGTGTTTAATATTTACTTTGTAATTTTTAGTATAGATATTTTGAGTTTTTATGTATTTTTGCCTTGTTATGAAGTAAGAACTCAATTAATTGAATGAGAAATACTCAATTGTCTGTGAAAAACTGTTTCTTTTTTGTTTTGTTTGCTTAATTTCTTTTATACATCGTTCTATATTTTTTGTAGTATTTGAATAGAACATGTGACAACAATTAGATTATTCTTCAAATGATATAAATTTTGTGCATTTTGAGTTATAATATGAACGAGATATAACATTGTTAAGTGAACCTAGCGCCAGTGTCGCTATGTAAACCAATGTAGTAAATTTTAAAGAGTGCATTTATTCTATTGTGTTTTATGCGCTATCAACGGAGTAGATTTAATTCCATCCAAAAAGTTGAAATGAAATGCAAGAAAAAATGCGTATAATTTAATATTCTGTACAAGGAAATCATGTGGTGTACACATCAGATTTTTTTTTAAAGTTTTGTTTGTTACCTTTATTTATTAAGTATCGTGTTCTTTGCACTTAAACCATAAAATTCAATTCAACAGCAATATCAGAAAATAATTTTAAAATGAGCAAAGCTTTAGAATTTCCAATATGCAGTCTCGCACGCTGGAGATAAAATTTTTTTTCCCTTTAAAGTGTTGCCATTACTTGCTTTGAAATCCCTCAGCTTGTTAATGAAAAATTCATTAAAGTATTACAAAATATGAAATCGATAATAAAACAAATTTCAAATTCCAAATCTTGGCTTCCAGATGCGATTTGGTTATTCAAAATTTGATGGCTTTATGTACTTTTGTTTTATTCCAATTCTAGAGACATACATATATTTGCCCATATTCTTCATTTTTTAATTTCTTTAAATATAACACAGGTTAATAATATTTGGTGGCAACGATTTGAGAAGTGAACCGACATTTATAGTGAACCAATGCAAAATGCCAAAACCATATTAATAGTCCTTCAGGGCAAATTGCTCCTTTGATAAGGACATTTGAAAGAACTAGAAGGACATGGGGAAAAAAAATCTATAAAGACATTGTGGGGAAATCTGAGACACTGAAACAGCATGAACACCAAAAGGATTGAGTTGCATAATTTTTTGGAAAGTAAATCTTTGAAACCTGAAATATTTAAAATTTAGTAAACAAAACAAAGTAAAGATAACTATTTGAAGATGGCACATATTTAATTAAATGTTTATTAGGCATTTAGAATTTTTCAGCATCCAAGTAACGGTGACCAGTTTTGACATGTCACAATGATAAGTTTTGATTGAATCTCATCTACAGCTTATTTGCTATTTAATTCTTTTATACTGAGTTAGGAAGTGAAGTGACTTAAATGAATTCCAGTGCAGAAATTATCTGCATTTTAGTGCTTGTCTTCTGTGTTGGGAACTTAAGTCAATTTTTTACCCAAGATGGTTTGGCCTTGCTTTCTTGACTACTCTTTCTTGACTTTCTTGATGTGTCTACACCTTTCGCGTGCTGTTTTCTAGCTCAATTGATTTCTCGCGCTCGCTCTGCTCGTTTTCGTTATTTTGTGTCATGGCTTTTTCAGCTCAACACAAAGTTTTACTGGTTCAACAGAATGCTCTTTTATCTGCCCTTCTTATAAGCCAAGAGCAACAGAAGAAGGGTTAAAAAAAAAGAAAAATAACGAAATGGTCTAGAGATATTTTTGAAAGACTTGGTTGGCACATATCTTTCTGGCAAAGCCGTATGGAATATTTATGCATTGTACTGTAGTACTCTCTATACTATAAACATGAACATGCATATTATATACTATATAAAACCTTCTTCAATTTTTATATATTATTTCTCTTAGGAGAAATACAATATTCTAATATGCCTAATTAAAAAAAAATCTTGAGGATAACTAACAAGATAGCCTGTATATAATATTTTTCTATTTTGCAAGGTGTGAAAGCAGTTAAGCTAAAAGTACAGGTACTTACCATACATTATTATTATTATTATTTTTTAAATTTTCAATCAAAAGGAACATGTTTCTGTGACAATGAAACATGTGTGCTTAGCACTCCTTATTCACTGCCCTCAATTCACTGTCGCTCAACTATAGTAGTTGGCTGCACTACCAGTATCAATTATCACTAGTACTAGTATCCCTACAACTGGTCACCAATGACCAGCAACCACAACTAGTACAATACTAGGAAATGTTCAACCAACAATGTATTTTATGCTCAAGTCATTAAATACATTTTGCTATTTGCCAACTGTTTGTATACATCTATTTTAATAATTTGCATGTATAAGCCGCACCCCTTAATTTAATTTCAACATATGCTGTCATTTCTATTTATGACCAAATCTCAAAAGTAATTTCACATTGACAAATTTTAGGTACCCAAGTCTTCAAATACATCAAAATATAAACATTCATACCTTATCCAGGAATTTCTACCTGAGAAATAGCATGAATTTAATGATCAAAACTCCATTCAAATGATAGTAATAAAGAGTGGATAATAATAACAAATACTATTCATTAAATTATAGTCCATGTTATGAATTATGTGTGCTATTTAGTTTCATTAAAAGTAAACTCCTTTCATGGAGAACGTAATTAAAAAACAGAGCAGAAATGGAGATTAAAAAACAGGAGACAAAACTGTCTTAACTGTTGACTGTTGTTTTAAGGATATTTCACTACATTTTTTCTTTCTTGGAATTCATAAGAACATTTTCTCAAAAGATTAATCTTTTATTACTTATACAAAGCTTACACCATTGAATTGACTATTGTGACTATTCTTAAATAAGTGAAAATATTTTTTTCTTTTTTTAAAAGTAATATTTTTACTGTTAAAAAAAAGCAGATTCTTGATATTGATTTGATGTTTTAGTAAAATTAATTCATGAAGTTTGTTTGGAAGAAAAAATCAGCATTTGAAGCAAATAGCAATATAATATTTCTATCTTTTTTAATAAATTGATTCTTAAATACAAAAATAATTAAACAGGAAAAAAATTATAGTAATAATTTTTAAAAAAATATAGACAGAAAGAAATATAATAATTTACACAGAAAAAAAAATAAAATTTTTGCAAGTATGCATTTTTTTAAAAGAATTTTTCATAATAAAATGAAAAATAATTGGATGGGATCAATCATCTACAGGATCATACACAGCGTGCATAATCCTGAGCTTAATTTTTCGCTTTACGAGTTTCATCCACATTTTTCAATTATAAATGTGAAAAACTCATTAAAAAATTCATTAAAAACTCAGTAAAAATGTCATCATCGCAGATTTCTTGCGAGATCAACTCTTTATTGTCATTCGCGTACAATTACAATGATTCGAATAAGATTCTCCATATTAAAAAAAAAGTCGCCTTTTATGTGACAGCAAAATTGTCTAAAGAAAGCTGCTTCATTTTAGCTTTGCTCTGATTGATCGACGCTTATCCCAAATTTGACGTAAAGTTGAAAACTTGGAATCCTATGCCATGAGCCCTAAACCAGATTCTGTGACGTAGCAGTGACTGGTTGCCTTGGCAACGGATCTCGGTTTTAACCACTTATGCCCTTTACGCCTTCGTCTGAACGGGGCCTTATCAGCCCTCTCTCTTGTAGATAAAAAGTTCTGGAAAAGTCTTTAAAAAAAAAGTTCAGAAAAAGCTAAGGGAAGGAACTTCAAAAAATGTAAAATTAATCTTGGGTTACTTAATTTTTTAGTTAGCAAAGGAATGAAAAAAAGATTTCTTTTTATTACTTCTTTTGGACTTATGTATCATACTAGTTGTTCTAAAGATATTATTTTAGATTTTCATGCTAAAACATGCTTGTAAAAGGAAAATTTGTTACTTATATTTAAAAAATTTTGTAAAAGTACCTCTGTGATTAAATGTTCTTACTCATTTAGTAAGTGCTTGATGTCAGATATAGAAAAATATGCCTTATTGTGATTGGAATGATAATATAAACAAGAATATTTTTCTGCTTCTTGTTTAATACTTTTTTTTGTGTGTATGTTGCAGGCCAATGAACCCTTTGGGTAAACATATTGAATTGTTAGTGGATGATGCTGTAGAAAGCATGCAAAATCTAGCATTCAGTCCTTCTCCAAGTGAAAACCAAGTTCCATTTTACTGTAGTGAGCTGTCACCATTGAGCAAAGAAACTTCACCTTTTAGCGCTTCTAAACTGCCAAATTCAAAGTCTAGTGAAAAAATGGCTGGAGGAGATTATGCAAGGAATGAAGAACTTTCAGAATCTTCTCAATACGAAAATAGTTCAAAACATCTGTCATACAGTGAATCTCAGGACACTCTTCACTCATGTACTGATAGCATCACAGAATCAGATGTTAATGCTAATGTTCTTGAATTATCTGAATATGAAGAATGTCCTAAAAGTGTTAGCGCCTCTAAAATTCCTCGTGAAAAACTAGATAAGGAATGTGATGATTGTGCAAGTTATTTTAGTGACTCTTCTGATAGTGAAGAAAGTTATTCTTCCCTTGCTGAAGATTTTAATATTCAAAATACCAGACTGGACAGTTTATCACATGAAAGTGTCAATGGTTTTCCAACACATGCAGCTAATTCTCTTGAAAGTAAAGTTAGCACATGTGAAATGCAAGACAGCCCAGTGAATTCTAGATATTCAGAATTCAATTCAAACTGTATCCCTTTTTCCATGAAAGTGTCTACTCCGAAAGAACAATATCGGACAACTTCGGTACCCATAAACGATGATTCTTATCAGAGTCTTCCTGAAGGTGGATTTTATGGTATAGGTCGTCACAAAGACGGTTCTGACTTAGGTGATGTTTCTTAATTAATCTTATATTTTTAATATTAATCTAATATTTTTAAAATTTAATTTTGTTTTATAATTAATAAGATTATTATTATTGATTGAAATTTTGAAATGTCAGTTGTCTTTCAGTTTTAAATATTATACCTTTTTGCAGAGATTTAAGTCTGCAATAATGATATTGTCAGAGATTTTAATCATAGTGTCAAAATTTTTGATTAATTGGTTAAAATCACTGATTATAGTCAAAATTTCTGTGTATTTAAAAATAGTATATTTTATATTGCTTATTAAATTGTAAAAAGGAAGGAAACTATAAAATTTTCCTAAAAAAGGTATCCAAACATTTATTTATTAACTGTGTTATATATGTTTTTATTTGGATCGTCTGTTTTTAACTAACCTGTTGATGACAATATTTTAACAAGAAATGATAGATTCGGGAGTAGGGTAAATCTATAACTATATTGACCACTTACCTTTTTAATTTTCCTGCTGTATTGTGACCAAAAATAAGCATATTTTTTATAAACAACTGTGTATTCTAATCGATTATATATGAATTCAAATCTGCAGTCAAAACTATTACAAGTATTGCATTTTTTAATTTAAGATAATTTTTAATTACAGCAAAATTAAGAAACAGTTAAGTGATTAAAGGAATGCATAAGTATAAAATATCTAAGATATCTGTTGATGCTCAGAGGTTTTTTTTTTTTTTTTAATTTGAACTGACGCACAAGAAATTTAGGAATTTGTTAGGACTTTAGAAAAGTTTCAATGTTAGTATTTTTTACTTCAGTAACTGCATTTAAATCATAAGTTTTTGATTTGTAAATTAAAAATGAGTAAGCTATCATGATTGTGTGTACAGGTTATATATCTTCAGCTGCTATCTTCTACCTTGATTTTTGATAACTTCAACTCTACCATTAGGAATAAATGTTTATTTAATGTGATAATAATAAATTTTTTGGCATTACAAGTTTTGAATTAATACAACTAAAAGCTGCTTATACTTTGTCTTGTACTGCCTTAGTCAGCATTTCCCAGTTAAACTGAATAATTTGAACTTTTTATATTTTCCCCAACATAAAAGAGTTATTTGTCTATTCAAGTCATGTCATGTCAAACAATATTTCAAGCAGAGAGATCATTTTTAAACAACTAATGGAGATCTTTATACCATTATATTGTAAAACCAAGTATCTTATAACAAAGATATCCTAGTTTCTTGTGCCTTTTAACTTAAAGCACTTTCATTCTCAAATTTCTTGTTAAGAATTGTATTATTAAACCATTTTCAGTTTTATACCTTTCTAAAATCTTTTTACCCTCTTTTTATTTCTACTTTTTTATCAAAAAATTTAATGTCACCACCATTATTAGTTACAGCACTTACTGAGAATAAGCTCTTATTTAGTTCTGAAATATGTATGACATTACTCAAAATATGTTTGTAAATTTCTAATGGAATATTTCTAGGATTTGCTTAACAGGTTTTCATTATTAATCACGCATGATGAACCTGAATCAACTACCAACTGGTCTGTTTATGACATTAATATTTTCTTCATTAACACTTAGAAATGATACTTATTGATTATTAGTACTACCTTGGCTTTTATCTCCTGTGGAAAAAAACAACAAAATGGGAGAACTTTCCTATGTTGGTGCAATCAGTGAACTGAATTTGCTAACTGACAGTTTGTAACATTTCAGTATTCTGATGTTTCCATTTCGTGTACTACGTTGGAACTACTGATATGTACTCTCCTTGAATCAGTCACTCATTGATGAGCTAGATGCTCAGCTGCATATTTCATATTGCTATATAGATGAAGATAAGTTAACACGTGGCTTGAAAAACCTTTTATATCTGTTTGTTGTTAGATCTATCAATACCTATCATTAAGAATTGTGCATAAATTTTAAATATTGCTTTCATATAAAAATTCGGTCTGTAGAGTTGTAGTTGTACATAAAATTATAATAGTGATTTTAATTTAAAGGTTAAACTGCAGGCCATGCTTTAAGCATAAGATAAAAGAAAAGAGACCAAAGGATTTATTTTAAAAGTAAATGGAAAAATTATGTATTTCTGTGATGTTATGTACAATAATGTGTAGTGTATACATTTAATTTGTAACAAGGGATTTAAAAGAATAGAGTATACAACCATTATCGTGAAATAAAAGGAAAAGAAGAATTTGGAATGTGTCAAAGCAAATTGAGGGAGAAAAGGTACAGTTTCTGAACTTCGGCTTTCAATGACAATTTTTTCCTCCCTCTTTCTGAAGCTAATACACTAATGTTTGTGAAAATTGCAAGACCATGAAGGAATTATGCAAACTGGACCAAACTTACAGAAGATGTAAAGTGAGGTAACACATACAAATGATTAGAATTACAAAGCGCTTGCGCATGCATAGAATGAGAACCAGCCGCTTGTTAAATGTATATAAAGAACTGTAAAGTTCCACTGAAATCTGTTTATCGTCCTCTGTCTGTGATGAATGTTGAATTAGTGGTCAGTATGCTTTATCAACAGCAGAGAGTGCCATACCAATGACTAACGAAGTTTGAATGAGACTGTTTGAATACAAAAGGGGGACTTTTGTATCAAGGAATCGCAGTGTACAGTGATGCGTGTTTGGAAGAAATGGACAGAGGAGAACCAAACAAGGTGAAATCCTGGCAGTGAGACATGCAAACTGCGTGGGATGACACACATCATCCACATGGCTGTGGCAAATTATACAGTGTCCTCTCATGTGTTAGCACAATTTTGGAGCACGGCTACAGGTGTTATGTTGTCTATCTCCGCGGTTCGTTGCCATCTGCTGCAGCATGAGCTGTGTGCAAAGGTTCCTCTACACAGGATTCCCCTGTCACTGATTCACAGATTCCTCCAACTTCAGTGGGCACAGGAAAACAATGTGTGGCGTGTGTTGTGGCAATACATAGTCTTCTCCAATGCATCTCGCTACAATCTGGAGCACAATGATGGAAGAATACGCATCAGACATTACATCTGCTCCCACAGTGGGTTATCCAGCGTCATGCCACACAAACACCTGGCATCATGGGGAGCTATTAAGTATAATTGTCCATCTCTGTAGATTGCAACCCCCTTTCCACAGTGATCGCTACATAATGGAAGTTATGAAGCCAGAGGTCCTCCCCATTCTTTGATGCAGTCCAGGTGCTGTATTTCAGCAGGATAATGCCCATGCACATGTTTCTGGGACTGCACAAGCCTTCTTTAGGGCATAGCAGGTTTCGCTTCTTCCATGGCCTGCTTATTCCCTGGAAATGTCGCCAATTGAGCATGTCTCAGATTTCGTCGGTCAGTGACTTGTACAGCTGATGGGGAACACACTAAGACTGAATTTTTTTGTCATGTTGAAGCCATATGCAATGCCATTCCCAGGATTACATTCATAATCTGTATGATTCAATGCCACACATATACAGGCTGTCATCGATCAACTTGGCAGACACACAAAGTACTGATTTCCACTCTTTATTCCACACATTTTATTTCCAACAGTTCTTTCATAATGCTGCATTTTTCACAAGCATTACTGTATATCCAGTGAAGCAACAGTTTATGCAAACTTTAGTGCATATCACTACAAATCAATTGAAAGAATTAATTCTGTTAAGGTTATTTGATTCCGCTGAACTTCATTGTCCTGCTAAACAAGTATTTATAAATATTAGTTTATGGTTTATATTGTCAGTTAAGAGAAAAGTATAGACTTTATAGCATTCTCAGTAGCAACTAATGAGAGTGCTAAAGGCCCGTCCACACGAGGACGCTCCCAACGTAGCTGACGTAACTTTTTTCACGCCGGCGTAAATTCGCGTGACACAGAAGACGTAAAACTGAGTACGCTCCTGTTCAGCTTTTTCGCACGCGACGCGCGCGTTTAGCCAATAGCCGACCGAGTTCTTATCGCGTGTCATAATCAGAAAACCTTCTTGCTTACCCGTTTCAATATATGGCGTCAGAACCACACAGAGATGAGTTTTTGCTTAGAAATATCATAACTGTATACAGCAATAAAATAATCGGCATTGTTCACGTCATCTTCAGATTTCTCAAACCGTACATATTGGTTTACATTTAATTCTCATTAAAGGGAAATACTGTATATTTATAAACCAATGATCCAACCAGTATATCCATATGCTTCACCTATTTATAACACCTTAAGTAATAGGAACCTAAATAAATTACAGTTTCTACGAAATCAAAGTTTCTGCCTTACAAAATTCTCCTTAATAAATATTGGCTATATCATGTGTAATAAAAAGCTCTATAAATATCCCAATATTAAATACACCAAAAACTAACTCCAGCAGTGTAACAACTTCTAAAATAAAGCAGTTGACTGTGAAAGAGTATTCAATAAAATACAATTACGAAATTTTGGAGGAAAGTTAGAACTTGTGTCATACAGCAATCATTTATTGAAGTTTAATTAAATTACCTTTGCAGCGACTTCTACTTGTTACATTATTTTTCACAAATACTGCTATCACAGATAGCGAAGTGGTCAGCGCGCTGCGTTGGTGGTGGAGGAATGGAAAGGTGGTGAGTTCGAACCTCACCCGTAGACGGTATATAATTCAGTTAGTTTTTCTCATTTTGAAACGTGTTTCTTATATTTAATCATGAATCAATATATTCTTATTTTACCTGTTATTATTATTATTGTTTTAATTTCTTATGTTATTCATTGTTATTATTATTGTTTTTAATTTAGTTTAAAAATGTGAATTGCAAATAGAAATCCTTATGTAATAATATATCTGCATCTCTTTATCATATATCATCTATAAATTCTCTATTTATTTTTAACTTTATTGCATATTTTATCATGCACATAATTCTCATAAACTGTCCAAAGTTTGAACCTCATTCTAAATTCAAAAATAAATAAAAAAAGAAAAACAAAAGGCCAAGGGAGAGGGAGTTAAAAAAATATGAAGTTGGTT